CCCCAAAACCCCAAAACCCCAAAACCCCGTATGTAAATTAGTTATTGAATTCTTTAAATATGAAGACTTTTCTTCCACTTAAAAGGTCGTATGCAGGTAGTCTAGAAGGCAAGCTACCACAAAAAGATGGCCCTCAAGTTACAAGAAGCCAGAGCAAATCTGAAAAAGTTCAGGTTTATGATTACTACACTCAGAATGACAAAAGTGAATTAGCAGATTGCTGTAGAACAAGTAAAGCTTCTTTACCACCGAAGAAGATCAAGGAGAGCTCCCCTGAGGTAGTTCTAGCTACCAAAATTTCGCTTTGTGGTACGGAAACATGCGACTCTACTGAATTATAATCCTAGCTGAGCATGCTAAGACCAAGGCAATTCTTGAGCAGAAAGTTGATATTCAAAATATAGAGATTTCAGAGCTCAAAGCTAGACTTCAAAAAGACAAGGATTGATATGAAGCAATGCTAGAGGCTCTCCGCACTGAATCCAAGCCGAAGGCTTATCAAAACTTAAATGCGATCAAAAGAATCCATGAGCAGCAAGTAGAATCTATGCAGGCCAATTTCAGGATCTCAAGGAAGAAGATGGAGACATCTCTTGGTGAAATGAGAGAAAAGAACACCCAGCTTGAATTTGAGGTGAGAGACGTTAGAAGCCACTTTGAAAAACTACAGCTCAAGTACGACTTTAAACTTAAGGAGGAAGAATATTTGAGAAGAGAGTGAGACCTTAAGTATAAGGATCTTGAAATGGGTAAAAATAATATCATTTCAAAGTTAAGACAAGATTTAGGTAAGATGTTCATAAATCCTGCTTTTTAAATATTCACCTAGACTTTTTTGAATACCTGGCCAAAATTTTCATACTGAAGAGGCATAGAATTCTCTAGAAGCATCTAAATAACCATTCTCCAATTGATCCTCTTCACTTACCATCAGGAATTTGTGATTGAATTTTACCATGAACCCATTGATTTAGAGGAAGCCACCAGAAATGCTGAACGGGAGGTGAATTCACTACGTAAAAAATATCAAACTGAAATTGAAGAGCTAAAGGAGTTCTACGAGAAAGCACTTGCAGATATTCGATTGATGTACGAGAAGGAGAGAGGTAACCAGGATGCAAAACTTCAATTCTACGAGTCTGAGCTCTTTTCACATAGAGAGCTTACTCTTAGCCAAGGTCAGTCTGATGTAGAGGGGTCTAACCCTGACGAGTCGGTTATGAGTCACTTCTCTCTCAAGTTCTCTGAACTGAATGACAAATGATTGGAGATAAGGAACCAAGCTAATGATGAAATATTTGTACTCAAGAAGACAGTGGAGGAAGGGGTCCAGAAGATCAGAAAACTTGAAAAATTAGTAATCCAATCCAAGAAAGAGACGGATCAGATCACTCTTGAGAAAGATAAGGAACTTAAGTCCTTGGAAAACAAGTTGGCAGATGCCCAGAAAAGGAGGCAAATGGAAGACAGGAAATCTCAGCTAATTTTGAAAAAGAAGATTTCTGCTCTTAAATGTAACCTCTCCAAGATGAAAGCCAGCAAGAGAAAGACTGAAGATAAGCTCAGCAAGGTTCAAGTGGAGCTAGAGACAGAACGCATCTTAAAGAGAAAGAAGATGAAGAAAGATAGACGGGAGAATTCTAAAGTTAATGAGATGACTTCAAAACTCACCAGAAATATTGAGTATCTTCAAAATAAAAATAAAATTCTGGAAAGAGAGAAAAAGGATTTGGAGGACAAAATTTTAAAACAGAAGGTGTATAAGAAGGTCTCTAAGATCAAGGAAAGGAAGAAAAGCTGAAAGAAAGAAGATAGTATGGAGGTATTTCAATCTAATAAAAGCCCGATGATAAAGCAACTCTCTCTGAACCATTCACAAAGCAACGATTTATTAATTTCAAAAAATCGGCTGAATGGTAAATTACACCATTCACGTAAAGCAACGAGAGAGCTGAGTGTGAACTCTAAGAGTAGCATTCCTCAGCTAAATTTGAGTGGAATCACTCCTGCATCTCCAGATTCATCACACAGGTTATTATTCTCTAACAGGAGCAACAAACATGTGAATGTGACAAATACTTCAACAACAAATGTTTCATTATGTAACAGTATTGCAGGTATAAAACCAAAGTTATCCCATGGAAGTAAAAAGAAAGAAGGAACTAGATACTGCGCTGCTTGAAAATTTAAAGAATGGAAAAAGAACCAACTAAACTATGACCTCGAGCTGTTGATCAAAAATAGGGATATGATCAGGGATGTCCATTGCCTTGGATGCGATCGAAAATTTGAAGTTAAAACTTTTCTCAGCCATGCTACCAATTGAAGGTTAACTTATAACATCCCATCAATGCTTCCAAGAAATGAAGTTGTGATAAAGGTTATCACAGAGAATCAAACTTATTATAAGATCCAGAAGAAATCAAGAAGTAGGTCTCGGAGGGCTAACCGATCGATTACGACTGCCACCAAGAACACTAATGAAGCTAATCTACTCGATTCCAAGGATTACAATCTGCTTGCCATGAGTAATAATAATCCGATGTCTCTTTTTGGCAAACTTAGAAGTCCCAATAGTCCAAAGTCTTCTAAGGACTTTATCTCAGATAAGTCAAAGATTCAGAAACTTAGATTCTCAAGCAAAGGCAGCCTTGAGAGGAAGCATACTGATCTAACCGGGAGCTATGCCAAATTTAGTGATGATAACTCCTATTTCAAGAAAAAGAAGATCAAGAATATGAGGTACATGCAAAGCAAGGAAGAAGACTCTGAAGACCTTGATATTCCAAATGAAAATATTAAGGAGCTAAGTAGCGTTAGCGTGTCTCAGGATCAAGATGACTCTTGATCACTTGACAACTACCAGATCTTGCCTAGGAATATTCAAGGAGTTAGACAAAGTGATAAGAACTTTATTAGTATTCCTCAAAAGAATAGGAATAGTATGGTGCAGTTTAGAGAGAACAGAGTTTGGAATAACAATGCCTTCAGTCCGGGAGGCAAGTTCAACTCTCCTCTCGTCAAGCAACTGTATCTGACCAATTTTGAAAATGAAGTAGAACAAGCTGAGTTTAAGATGGAAGCGATGTCTGAATTTTAGCTTTTAAGGTGAATTATTTGGTTTTTCAATTAGAAGAAGTTTATACGGGGTTTTGGGGTTTTGGGGTTTTGGGGTTTTGGGGTTTTGGGG